ATTTACGTTTTCTTGCCATACAAAAGTTCATAGTTGATGAAAAAGATTCCTTATACGTTACGATGTAGAGCTCAAAAAATAGATCTATTTACTCACAAGTTGTTGCAAATAGTTTTTTATCCATCTCTCTTGGACTAGTGGTCACGGCTAAACAACAAAAATTTCAGATAATGGATTATTTTACTCGGAAGGATTATTTGGGAAGAAGTTCATAATATCGGCTAATCTGATCCATATTTTTAACATCAGTTTACTATGCCAAAATACGATTCAAAGTGAGGCGCTATAAGAGCAGCGATTGTAAAAAAGAATCAATCGGTGTATTAAAAACCGGATCCAGGACCTTCCAGGTGCTGCGTACATCCCCGTAAACTTCGTATACGGTGTCCAAAAAGTAAGACCAGTTCAACATTTTCTTTTTTACATTAATTTATTATCTCAAGTAATATGCCTTGTGAACAGTTTAGTCTGTAAAAGCGATTCGTAGTGCACAACACCACAATAATCGAAAAATACTATTAACATCATTTTGAGTTTTCAGCAAGTTTGGCGCGAGAAACCCGATTTCAGTTCACCTTTCGCGCGATAAGCACTGGCTTGATTAGTTGTTTCCGTGTGTGATGTACGTCGATCCAAGTATCATTTCGCTTAATTTCGCAAACAATATTTAAAGCAACTCCTCTACCTAGGAAAAAAAGGACACGTAAAAATAGGGAAAAATATTTTTCGTGTCTGAAACACTAATGACGTTTGCTATGTAAAATTTGACGCAAACGTCGTTCACAGTGCTACCAATTTGGATGAAAAAATATTTCTGACATTCGATACACTGACGCAATTTAACTTAAATGTATTTAATTATGGTACTATATCCTGCATCACAAGTGATTTAAAGTATAATAAATCTCCCATTGCTCTGATGTGACTTATTATTAATAAACTGAAGATTTAAAAATAAAAGAAGACCAATTCAACCTAGGAAGTAAATGCCTTCACTGCTGCCGTTTACAAGAAATTAAGAAAAAGTCACTTCCTGCTACTTTTTTGACGGTGGCCAACATTCGACAGGGTTTCTGGAAAAGATATCTGCAGTTTGCACTGCAATCTGTAATGTGATGTGTGTTATGAGAAGTTTCAACTAAACAAATAACAGTCGAGTTCAATTGGCTCTTAATGCAAAACTTATGTTAATTAATAATAAA